AATCTAAAAAAATATTATTACATTGCCACACAAAACCATTCTTGGAATTTCTATCTATATAAAGATAATCAAAGTGATGGCTGGGTTGAAAAGTCCAAAATAAGGGGTGTCACAATTAGGAGAAAATTATTCAAAATATGTAAATAGTCCCTAACTTACTTGTCTGAATAGTTCTCCATGTTCAGTCCTTCAATTTCTTAGAATTTTTCTTAAAATCAGACTGTAAATTCAAGATTAAATTCACCACCTTGTATTTTTTAAATTCTATGTGGATTTACTGATTTTGAAGAAATTTTTTTTCAGACTGGAGAAAGATTTTGAAACTTAAAAATTATGCATATATTTAAGATAAAAAAAGAAACTTTCATTTTTAACCAAAATAGCAATATAATTAAATTTTGTGTATTAATATCATAATGCAAATAAAAACATATTTCCAGTATTCTCTTCTATCTGCCAAGTGCATCAGAATAATTCAGAATTTCAATTCAATACCAGTCACCACAGCTATGTAATGATTGTTTTCAAAAATTATTCTTCAAATCACCAAGGCTAGCTTATATAACAATGTTAGTTAAAATGTAAAGAAAGTACCATTAAATTATTTATTTCAAAAATGAATCCTAGAATTATGGTACAAGGAAGATCAAGTTGGAATTAATTAAATGCAACAATGTAAATAGGAATTTCAATTAACCTTTTGATATTTACTCAATCACATCAGGTCTATTTACAGACTTAATGATGTGACAATGTTTAAAGCCAGTTTGATTGAAAAATAATAACATGTAAATTGTCTGCTATAAGATTTAACTTGGGTGATGCCCCGCCTCCACACCAAACACAGCTGAAAGATTTATTTCTATACCTGAGCAAATGGCTCCAAATATTTATCAGATATTTCAACAGATTCAAGCAATATGAATGAAAAATAAAAATGTTAAATTTATTAATCAGTCTGCCTTTCAGTTGTCTCCTTATAACTGATTGTTTTGAAACAATGCTAGCAGTGATAGTTACTTCTTTGTCAATTCCTGTTGTATGAGAACGGCAAAATAGATGACAAAGTACATTTTGTTTGTATTGAAATGTTATGTTTGCTATCAGACATCACAAACCAATGAATAGAATTTGACAACGCCTGTCATCTTTGTACTTTCTATATTTGTAGGGGGATTGAAAAGGTAGAAGCCAAAATTATTCTCTGCAGAAGTTGTATTAAATGCTAATACCTGCAAAAAAAAAAATAAATACACAAAATACTTTTGTCTAAATAACTAAAGAAACTGAATTGCATCAAAAGAGAAACTCATAAGTTTTTTTTTTTTTCCTACAAGGAATCAGTTGGTATTTACTACCTGATAACCAACTTCACCAGTTTCCAAATTATAAAGAATTAGCTTCTTCAAGAAAGTTGTCCACTTGTGAAATTACCAGAATAAAAGTTTGGTATTAGAAAAAGAAAATACATCTATTTCATAATAGTTATTATACATCATATAAGAGATATTTACACAACTATTATGGAACAGAGGTTAGAAAAAAAGAATCGCTGGTTTTGAAAGCTAAAAATTTGACAAATGCAATCAACCGTGGGGAAAACTCGGAGCACCATCTCAATGATGGAAAAAAAAAATCTTATAAATTATTTTTTTCCTGCATTAATAAAATACTTAATATTGTAAGTTAAACATGAAACCACATTTTGTCTAAGGTGGGGGGGGGGAGATTGTGACAAAAAAGTGAAGGTTGAAAATACAAACTAAGTAGAAAATTAAAAACTGAGTAGAAAATTAAATTCTTTCAAAGTTGGTATTAACATATGTAACAACAAAAACTAATAAATTGTTTAGTATCTGTTAAATACTTCATCATTTGTGAGTGAAAGAATTACTGCTTGTAATTTTAGCTACATAAATAATAAAGTTAGATAAACTTAGTCTGGCACAAGGCCACAATAGTAGGGAACCCAAAGAGAAGTGAACTCATTACCAATGAGTTAAGAGATTTGTATGCTAACATCTGCTCTACAGATACTTCATTATTGTGAAGAGCATTTGGTACCATAAAATTTCATTAGTTATTTTTCTCGTGATAAAAATGTTTTTTATTTCAATAAAATATGAAATGAACATTTTTTTTGTCTCAATCATTACTAGAATGAGTGACAATTCAAATTCTCAGTATCACAATAATTTTCTGAGCAGAGTATGGGGCATGTAAAGTTTTTAATAAGTTGTTTTGACTTAATTGACCATAGATCTACTAGTTAATTTTGGCTGTCATAGTATTTCATTAGTGAAAGCACTTGAATACAATATAGAAGGATTATTTATTGGGTAGATAAAGCTTAAATAACTCGGTAAAATGTAACTAATCTTACAGACAATTGTTAATGAGTTTGTTGCTCAGGGAGTGAGCCATTATGACTGTGTGTGTACCAGTTTTATACTTAAATGCCAATTTACTAAAAAGAAAAATCAGTTATTTCAGAGCAGGTAGAATTCTGTAGCAAAGATCATTCTTATCAGTGAGTAAATTCATTTTAGTCTAGAGAAAACATTTTTTTTTGTTTAAAGCAGAGCAAGGCACTACTCTGACAAGCAAGAGGAACTGCCTTAAAGCACAAAAAGACTCCCACTGCCTATTTTACCCATAGTTGACTGAAGATAAGTAGATTTATATCTTATCAAAGAGCATTAATGCAAGATTACCACCCAGATTTTGAACTCTGTTTTCAGATTCCATTCATGTTAACTGTTAAGCCATCTACATCATTTAGTGGACAGGTAGTGGACTTTGTAGACATTAACTTGAATAAGTAATGTAGTGCTTTAGGATATAGATTTAGACCAGAGATGAGAATTTTTATCCTGAAGCTATAAATAATTCCAGTTTGGAATTATAGTATAGATGAGGCATGGTTTCTACTTTTCTGGATAAACTTCTAAATATTAACAAAAATTTATTGTAACTAAATGACTCAGATTTTGTATTAAGTTAGTGTATGCAGTTAGTGGGAGGGAACATACTCAGTAACTTGTGCTTATTATTTCTTAATATACTGTCTTTACTTATCTATAGGTTACACTTTTTGTTCCTAAATAAAAAAAAAGTGTTAAATTTATAAACCAGTTTAGAAAATGTCAATATATAATCAACAATTATTATAATCAATTCATATAAGTTTACTTTTTTTTTTTTTTTTTTTAAATGGTTAAAATCCAAAGTTGTTGTCTCCAGTCAATTGGATTTGTCTGAGTTTGCTTATTGAGTCAATAATTAATAAATTGTTTATTGTCTTGGTATATCCAATTGATTATAAAATATAATTTGTATAACTATAGTTTACTGATTATCATAATAGTACTTATTGTTTTGTGAACACAAACTGTATAAATATATTTTACATTGTACTTTTCACCTACCTCTTTAAAACTGTAATTCTATTTATATATCTGAAATTTTCTGGGTACAAGTACTTTAATTTGTCATGTAAATTTTGGTGAAACCTATTTTAAAGTCAATTTGTAATGCAACCTATATATGGGTAAATATGGTATTTACAAGTCACAAGTATATTTTAACTCTCAAAGAGTAGAAAGGAAATCATGTGGATCAATAATGAAACATTTTAAACGGGAAAACTACAATCTTGAAAATATTTCACAAACTGACATAAGGTGGGCAAATTGGAAGTCAGGATAATCTGATGGCATCATGATATGCCGCCTATCTGTAAATAATACATGAAATATGTAAACAAATAAGATTCAGAAGAATGCAAACCCACTGTCAGACCAACTCCTAAGCTCATCCTTTATTCAGATTTTGTCTTTCTTAACCAGAGTCACATCTGTTATGAAACAATTTATTGAATCCAAATGGTTGAAGTTCAGTTAACTTTTCCAAGTGCTGATTCAATTTGATCAATGTAGCCAAGGCAAAAAATACAAGGATAATCTGGATTAAGAGGGCTGGGCAGAGTTGAGGGAAGTTTGTCCAACTGCTGACTACTTTTGTTTGTCTACATATTCCATGCTATATATATATATATATATATATATATAACTGTAGGGAAGTAACTATTTTTTGGACTAATAACATTTGATCAAAAAGTAACAGAAAAAAAAAAAATTCCTTTAAAAAACCTGAAGATAAAGAGAAAATAAGTTTCTTTAAGCAGTCTGTTGAATGAAAAAAAATTGTTGTATAAAACAAAGTAGCTCAATGTATTTTTTTAAATAAGTTTTTGTTTTCTTAAATTTTTATTTTATCCCTCTTCTTCTTTAGTCAATGTAAGAGTTGTTTTGTAAGTTTGTTTTAGAAGATGATTTGAAAGTGTCAGTACAGAAGAACAATAAATGTGGCTGGAACATGTATAAATGTTAGGGAAGAAAAACATGAACAAGTCTCTAAAAATCAATAACATTTTCATTTTTGGAGAAGAGGAATCAAGAGGAATTGTACAAATATTTACACACAAATGTGCACGTGTGCACACACACACATATACACCTACACGCATTCATGCACACACATATGCACTATCATGCCCACACACATAGACTATGCAGAGAAGCAGCAGAGGTGTTGGTGGTGGTGTTGTTAAAGGGTCATGAGGTCATGAGATGTACAAGTCAATGAGATTTGGAAATGATGTTGCTGCCTTTTACATTTGGGAAGAGAATAGAAGAAGGAAAGATGGAAATGGGGTGGAAGTCTTTCCTTGTCCATTTAGATTTGTTTTACTTCTTTCCCAAAGTAATTCTTGTATAAACCCCATATATATATATATACTGGTGTCTTCAATAAAGATCTTTTTTTTGTTTTTCCTTGTTTGTTTTGCTTTTTGTTCAACAAATGACCAAAGAGTGCTTGGAACAAAAATCAGAATAGAAATTCAGCTTTTTATGTATTTCTTATCAGTGTTGAAAATTAAATAAGAGTTGATGAAAAATCTACAGGGAAGGACAAAGTGAATAGTGATGGAAACCCATTTACAAAGCATAAATGGAGAAGGACCGGTTCTTTGGTCTTGGACGACGGTTCTTAGTGATGATCTCATCATTGTAGAAAATATCATATTTCCGCTCAGTGGCAATAGACTGCAATGAAGAAGAAAAGATTTTAAAATGTTTTTGAAAAACAGAAATCATTAAAACTTTATTTTAATCAGAAGTATTCAGGACTAATACTGCTGTTAAAAATTGTTTTTCATCAAACTGCTCCAGTCAAGTAACAATTCATGAATTAGTTTATTTCTTTTTTTTTTTTGTACTCTTCCAGATAACTGTTCTGACTTTACTTTAATACTGAATTGTTGGTTGCTTCTAAATGTTTTTTTGTAAAAGAAAAAGCATAACAATTTTTTTAATAAGCAAATGAATTATAGAAATATATTCTGCTAATAAGACATGAAAAACTGGCCTCAAATTTAGGCAATGTAAAAATTTTTAGTCTTGATAACAATTGTTTAATAAAAATCAAGAAACAACTAATGTTGAAGATGTATACTCTGGATTTCAACTCATGTCACAGAGTAAATACAATTAAAAAGATAATTGTTGTTCATAAAGTATAGAACAAAATTTGTAGAGTCTTAAAAGTGGTGTTACAATTAAAATAGTTTAATTTTCATTGCTATAAATATTAAGATAAATAATACAGTTAAAGACTCATTTCTATAATATTATAGGAAATTTTCCAAGTTTAGCCAGAAGAAATAGATTTGTCAAATACATTGACAAAAGATTCTGACACTTGTAGGTAATTTCAATATCAAGCAAAATTCACAAAAAGATTGTAGCACATAAATAATACTAATATTTTAACTAAAACTGTCTTGGTGTCACCTTTCACAGAAAACCAACCTTTCCTGGTTTTTCACACAATAGTCTGATTCTGATAAGGCCCAAATTAGGCTACAGTTTGAGTGAAAGTAAAGAAAAGACAAAATTCTAATTGTATGGGTAAATATGAGATTTCATTTAATTAATAAAGTCTTGATATTAGAAATCTTTAATATCAAAGTCTTGATATTAGAAATCTTTACTATCAAAGCATTTCCTTAAAAAATTAAAATTAGAGTTAAACTAACAATAAATATTACCAGAGCAGAAAAAATATTCAAGAGATTTTGGAAGAACACAAAATGTTTGAAAAATATTATATGTAATCCCTATTTTTTTTAAAAGCTTTAGATAGAGGGTGAACAGATCTAAAGAGAAGTATAAAGAGACAAATCTACTAACCAGTCTTGATTTGACTGACTTAGGAAGATCTTCTGTTTCTTTCCATAATTCTTCTCTTTTAAAAGTCAATTCAGATCCATCTTCAAACTCCACCTACAAAAACAAAAAAAAAAATCTAAAATTAGCAGCATCTGAGGAAATAATTATGCAACATTTGATATTATAGATAGTTTGGGATACCTAGTTTACTAAATACTGACTTAGTTTATACTGCAAAAAGGCATAAAAATAGTGAAATTCCTTCCATTTCAACTGCTGATATCTTGTTTATTTTTTAAGCTATTTTGATAAAATTAGTATATAAACAAAATTTTTTTTCTTTCTCATGTATGATGATTAGTTTTTATTTCATGTCTCTTTAAATTGTCTATTTCAATGACAGATACTTCATTTTTCACATTTTCAAATCTGACAATTTCATTGTGGTGTTTTTAAAACTTATTGCATTTCAAGTTGTGTTTCCCAAACATCAAAATAATCCTCTTTTAAAGCAAAAAGGATGCTTGTCAATTTAGTGGGCTTAAAATAAGGTTTGAAGTTATCATTCATAACAACTTTAGTGGATAAAATACCATAGAAATTCAACACTTAAAAAAAAAAAAAAAAAAAAAAAAAAATTAAAATTGCACCTTCTTATAGAACAATGTCTTCTCGTTAATAATCAGTTGGTTTCATATCTCTGTACCCATATAACTAAGGTGCATCCAAATCAAGAAAGTGGATGCACTGCATTCATTTTGTACAAAACCTGTCCAAACATCAAAATTTGTCTTGCTGAGTGAATAACCATCACCAGCTGAACCCCATTTTAAATCAGAATGGTTTCATCGATGAATATTACACAGCTTAAATCTTTTTCTTATATTTTCTTTAATGATGCCTTTTAAAACTGAATAAAGTACTTATATCATTGTATTTTGTCCAAACTGTTATGCTCAAATAACTTTTGCTTCAGCTGTTGGTTTTATGCAATTTCTTAAATGTGGCAGGGGCAATATCACCCCTGAAATAATAATAATAAAGAAAGATATGCTGTAAAACAGAAAACACCAAGTGAAAGAGAGGCGTTTTCGAATAACCAAGACATTAATATGCTGCAAGAAAACGAAATACAATCTTTTTGTAAGTGTACAAAGGATATCAGATTACTAATAGAAAATTACTGGAGCAATAATAATTTGGAATTTAAAAAAAAGAAAAAAGGATTTTGACAATATAAGAATCGAAGTTAAAATTAAGGATATTTTAATCTAGAATTTATTTTCTAAACAAGAATCTCTGTAGTTTACAAAGAGTGGCAGATTAATTAATTGCGAGGTGATAAACAATAGTCTTGTTGTGAACCTTGGAAAACAATTGATGAAAAAGTAAATTGTTTATTCTCAGAGGAGTGAAGTTGTACTTTGGTAGTATGTCAGTACGTTCACACTAGAAAAATTGATACATCACCAGTCTGGGACATGTGAAGCCGGTTCTCTTAATAAAGAGGTGAGCCAACCGGAGGAGAGAGAGTTTTGGGTTCATCTGTCTTTGAATGCAGTCGAACTGAGTGGAGAGACATCAGAGATTGAAAATGTGTGTTGCTGAAGCTGAGAGCAAAGAAGCGAAATACCACCACTAACATCTAATTACTGCTACTCCTGCTAATACTATCACTACTGAGAATGGGAACATCGAAGGTTATAGTAGTTGCACTAAGAACATACCAAAAAGGGTTAAAACAAAGGCCACATCTTTCCTTTACTGAAACATTCAACCTTGTGCAACAAGAATTTTTTTTTGTTTACTTATATATATATTATATATAACTTTGGTTATATTTATTTTTCTGTTAACCCGATTCTCACCCAATGAACTCACAGGTGGACCAACAGAGCACTTCCGGATTTCTACGATCTGATGACCACTCTCCAGGATCAAAACAACCACAATGTGGCTGAAGGGTGGCTTCAAATTGACATTGGGAACCAGAGACTTGTGTCTGTCTAACCTGTAATACTGGACCAACGGCTGGTTTTGTGGAGTGAGGATATGGTGTTACATAAAAACACACTGAATATTTTTTTCTTTTTTTATGCATTAGTGCTTTTTATGCCAAAGACCTCTACCTGGGTGTTTAATAAAACAAAGGCAGAAATGTGTATTTTTTTTTTTTTTTAAATGGTCTTTGTTGTGTGATATTACACAAAAGACATCAGCATTTGTCTTTAGATGGGACTTTGATATAATACCACTTTCAAGTAATGATAGGATATGGAGTGTTCCAGGAGTATTAGCTATAGAAGACTTCAAATCACCATTAGGAGAGGAAATACAGGAGGACCATTCCAATAAATGTATTTTTATTCATTTCAGTTTTTTTTTTTTTTTTTTTTTTTTTTAGTTTGAAGATAAATGAGTTTAAAGTTTTACAACAAACATTTCTAAATTTTGTAGTCATTACTGTCTTCTTTTGACAAGTTAAAAATTGCATAATTACACAAAATTTTCCAAAATTAGATACTTTTATGACAAAAGGTATTCATATTACAGAGAAAAGAACTATTTTGTTGAATTCCTCATCACAAAATTAGTAAAGTTTCAGGCATTAACTCCAGTGGATACTTTTCAGATCTGTTTTTACTTGATGTAAAAATGTTTTTTTTTGTTTTCTTTTTTTAATTTATTGAGTTACTACTGACTACTTATGGCCCAAAAGCACATGAGATAAAATTTTCTAAGATCTGACAAACTTTGAATTGATTGCTAATTGGCCTACCAAGATAAATTTGGTACCTTTTTTTTTTTTTTTTGTCAAGAATATATCTATATTAAAAGTTTTTAGATATATTGAAAATAAAATTTTAGTTTGGGATACTTAATTAAACAAATGCTTAGACTTTCATATGCACTCATAATTACTCACGTACACAATTTTTAAGGAGTTAATGGATTTTTTAAAATTCAACTTTATTTCTTATTACTATAAACATTATATATTAGTAACTATACATGCAAGTAGATATCTCAGTTCTTTTAAACAGTGAAATGAACATCTCAACTTCAAATTCAAATCTCTAGGCTGGTAGATATTAATTTCACTGTTTAGAAAAACAAAGCTCTCTACTATAATTATTGATGCATTTTAACTTGGTATATCTAGATAAGGATTCAGCATTTTTTTTTTTTTTTTACCCATGAACTTTACTGCTACTCCCCCACTTAATGTTTTAACCAACTAAATTATTCTGGTGATAGGAAAAAGATGATGATTAGACACTAAATGTTAACATTTTTTATGCAGTTTCAACACTCACTGTTCATATTATATGCTAACAATTAAAAGAAAAGAAAAAAAAAAAAAGGTGTTAGTGATCTGTGGTTATGCAAGTATATGACCAAATAGAAATATTAAATTAGGTACCTCCACAAATTGCTAAAAAAAAAAAAAAAAAAAAATCAGCATACCGTAATGAAAACAGTTTTATCATCAAAATCTTTGATAGTCTTAAAATATTTTTTGAACATATTTTTTTATTCTTTTTTAGAAGATTTGAAGTTTTGATTAAAACACTTGTTTTTCTTGTGTCAGTGGTTGTACTAACTTTTAGCATAGCAAATTTTAGCCACTTTTTTGTAGTGATAGACACATTAATTTGGAAATTCTTGCAAAAATCAAATAATTCAGATTTTAATAAAATTTTCAGAACTTATTCACAATTGAATGAAATTATTTTTTATTACAAAATCTTGGTAAAAATTTCACCCACTTACTTTTATGAAAACTTGAGAAGTTCAATGTGAATTTTAGTGACTATATTAGAAGTAGATTTCTTTGAAGAATTTAAATCACCAAATTTTTTTTTTTCAAAATCAGACCCCATCTTAACCAAATATCTATTCTATAAAAAGGGCAATAAAACTAAGACATTATTTAATTAGAGAAGCTTTTAATTGCTTTTATGAAAAATGAATTTTTACAAGATTTGTTTTCATTTTTTTTAAATAAGACGCTGTGGTTAAGAAATGTTTGTATACAACTTTTTATACTATAAGTAATACTGGTTTCAAATCAGATTAATTTAACTTTAAATTTTTTAAATTTCAGAAATATACATTTTATTTTTGCAAGATTTTTAAAACTAAGAATTAACTTTTGTTTACAAATCTCAAAATGTCTGATTTTTATCAATTTTGCTGAGGAAAAAAATAAAAATTATTCTGATCAATATAATTTCTGTTTGAAACACACCACAAAGTATTTCACTGACTGAAAATAGTACAGCTTTTTCATTTAAAAAAAAATTCATTTTTAAACCTTAAGTATACCAAATTGGAGATACCTAATATTAAAAGCTCATTTTTAATTTGATAAATTAAGAATTTGTTCTTTGATTTGTAAAGATTAAATCAAATGATGTCAGCCAATTTTGCATAGAAAAGGCATTATGCTGTAAAGGCTTCCTCATGAAGAATATTGGATATCAATGCCAATGGCTCTCTAATAGAAATTGAGAAATGTCCAAATATAAAAGTAATGTTTTGCATACAGCCAAGATTCCTGTAAATATGTATGAGGTGCTGAAAAGTTTTTGGCCTGACCAAAGGGAATGAAATGTACATATTTCACATATACATTCCACATACACCATTTCTCACATTTTTTTTTTTAAAAACCCTTTCAAAAATCAATTTTGATGCTTGGTCACTGAAAAATTGATATTGGGAAGTGGGTTAATTTGGGAACTTTTCAACTTTCCAGTAATTCATTTTCAATCTAAATAAGCATTCTTACAGATTATATGGGTTATTCTAAAATAATATATCTAATTTTTGCAAAGAATAAATGTTAGAGTAAAAATGTTATATAAAACACAGCTTTGGTAGAAGGTTTTAATTAACAACAGTGCAAATAAAGCCCCCCGCCTCTTATTCACTTTATCCAAAATAGTTTTATTTTTCAGTCAGTAATAATTAAGTTTATCTTATATCGTAATCAAAAGTAATACATAAAAAAACAACCCTTAGAAACATTCCCAAGTAGAATTTAAAATTTTATTACAGCTTAATTATTACATAGTATACCAAGTATGCAAAAGTTGTTGAGCAAATTTTTAATGCTAAATATATTTCTGAATGTGATGTTTATGTTTCTTTGACACAAGAGAATTTCTGAGCAATATTTACTACATGCTTCAGTGATTAATTTATTTATTTTTTGGGGGGTAAATTCTTCTGTCTGGGAAAGAAACAACACATTTCAAATTTAAAATATAATTTTTTTTATGGCTAATATAATTTATTAGTTTTAAGTTTCCTAAATGAAAGAAAGTTATAATGAAATAGAAAGAGAGACAACTTACTGTGTGCATCATACAAGAACTTTGACCACGGAAGACAGCACCATAGATGATGCCATCTGGCCATTTTACCTTCACAGCTGTGCCATTATCTGGAGGACCTTCAGCAACACAATCCCTTTCCTAAAAGAAAAAAAAAAAAGGGTCAAACTCATTTCAGAATTGAAAAGTGATTCATGCTGCCTTTGGTGACTGAGCAATATCAAGTCACTTCCTATTTATTCACTGGTATGCCACTTTAGCTAATGGAGAGAGTTAATAAACATGGAGCAACCTCCCTTGAGTAGATTTTTTTTTTGAGGGAGTCAATTCATAAGTTAATTAAATTAAAAACTAATCTAAAACCAAGAGCCCAATTAAATTGGAAATTGTGTTATTATCCAAATTAAAGCATTTTAACAAAAACTGTGCCATGATGTGCAATTTTTGCAATATTATTGTAGAAATACACAAACATACAAAAATTAGATTATTATAATAAAGAAATCCTTTTAATTTATAATATGAATGTAGTATTTTGTAGTCAGCCAATATTTTCAATCTATAAATCTAATATGTAGATGAATCAAATTAAGTAGTAACAAAAGACTTAAATTAGCTCATTTAATGACCAATAGAAAAGATGAGAATAAAACCATGAGATGATTGAAATATAGTAAGAATTGATTGTTATAGTTATTCATTTTTTGACAATAGCATTGTGCAAGTACGCCTTTTTGATTATTATTTTTTTTTTTTTTTTTTTTTTTTTAAAATCAAGATTTGCATAATTCTGTAATATCAAAAGAACTTACCTGGATATCCTCTGGGAAGAGATTATCACAGAATGAACCATCATCAAAGTCAACGGCATAGAAAGTCTGGTTTCGTACAGCAGAAATTTCTGCCTTGTAATACCTGCCATTTTTATGTTTAGCAATTACTCTGTCTGAGATCTTCAGAGCAGGCATATTTCGGCGACGTGCCTAAAAATTAAAAATAAATAATAGGCTCAAGAAGGAAAAAAAATTCAAAATATAAAAATACCAACAAACACAATATTAATATAGAAAAACTGTAATAAAAGACTACACAAACTAGAAAAACTTTTTTATAGTATGTAAATGGCAGATATAATTTTTTTTTTTTTTAGCACACCAATATCTTTATGCTAAAGCCCAGAAGCACTATTAACTCAACCATCAGATACTTTTGTAAATTATTTGTTGATTTGTGATGGACAATCAGTTTTAGATTATTGTCAGTGTGGTGTAGAGTATCATATTACACTGTACTGACAACCTAAGTGTTCATCGCAAATCAACTAATGTGTGTGTCAGCAAGTTTAACATGAGGGATTTAAAAATTCATTTTTTTCAATACTAAAAGTAGGGAATATTTTAAAAGAGGATATTCCTTCTGGGATTGTTAGCTTATTTTATTTCCACTCCATGGATTACAAATAGCATAATAAAAGTTAAAAGAAGAAACCTCTTGATGGAAAATCTTTTTTCAAAATGCAGTATCAGAAAAGTAAAACAAGTTGTATCTTGAGTTCCATTAAATGCAGAACAATAAATTGTAAAATATTTAAATGTTTAAACTAATTAAAAGTGTCCTCTTCAAATAAAATAAGAAAATAAAAAAAAATTGATATGAAAATATTCCTACTTTTTGAGATATTAGTTTTATAACTTGTTTTTCTGAGTGTGGCTTCAATCTTCTTTGAGAATTGATGCATGGAACTGGAATTTAATGAAAGAAACCTGGAGACTGCTTTGCTTTTAGTATTTTTCTGCTTACCACTCCCTCCTTGCATGTCAGGGAATGGAGAAACTGAATTTCAATGGCTTTAATACAGTAATGTTAAAGTTCATGAACAACAGTTTGACTCCATTGCTTACTGGGGTACAATCCCAAAAGCCACTACACAATCGACTGTAAGAGACACCAACAATAAATGGTCATTGATACATTCTTTGGTATAATAAGGAAACTAATTAAACAAAATAAAGATTTACCTTTTCTTTGTGGTTGACATGTTTCTGACAAGTTATATAAATTGGGAATGGCCAATCACTGGTTTCAAACATCACTCCTGCAGCGTGGGCACATGTAATGTGAAAGGAGAGTGTACAGCGACCAGATGAACATTGAGCACAGCTTCCAGATTTACCATTTTGTTTTACTTTAGGGGAGCAAAAGCAACATTTCTATAAAAACAAAATAAACAAATATATAAATCGGGTACAGTTTTTTAAAAATTTCTAACCCAATAATTTTGAATAATGCTAATTGTGTGTGTGTGTATATATATATATATATATATATATATATATATCACACACACATATACAAATAACAGAACAATCACTTAAAAAAAATATCTCATACTCTAGGAGCAGCATAGACAGTGTAACATTTTGAAAGAGTATACTGTTAGTCAAGTGGACAATAGAAGAGTAATCCAGCATCAAATGATATTGAAACTGAGAATAATTATTATTTTCTTTTTTTGTCATCACTCTCCTTTTCACAAAGTATTTTCAGATTCTGGAATGAAGGATTTTATTATCAATTTTTAATTAGTTTCTTCATCTTTTCTTTTTTTACATTTTATCACAATATCATTAGATTCTTAACATGTAAAAAGTGTAAAATCAAATGGGAAACCTTTTGATTAAAGCAATGTCCATGGAAGATAAAATGTCTAAAATCAGAATAAATGAATTTATGTTTATGGCTGAAGACTAGATTAGTCAAAACTGTGCCAAGAAGAAAAAAAATGGGGCAGAAATAGCTAGTAAAAAGTGAATAAAAAATGTTTCATCAAGATCTTAAAGAATCCCACAGTTATCATTATTATAACAACAAATAAAAATATTCACAATTTTTTGTGTAACTCGATGCTCATTCCTCTCAATCATTTGCTGCTTTTTGAAATTTGACCATTTCTGTTTAACTCTCAACTGTTTGATCATACAATTCATTAAGATAGACGTTGTTCAATGAGATAGGAGAAAAGCAAAATATTGGTTGCAAAGCAGCATATATAATAAAGCACACAAATCAGCTCAATAATGGCAGTATGATATCTTCCTTATATGAAGTGTTATGGTAAAACAAATGGAAGAAAAACATTACTTAATTCAATCAAGGTTCAACAAAGAAACATTGGACAATTGAGTTGGTGGGAAAATTTAAGTTTTACTGCAATGTCCTGATTTAATCAATTTTCAAATAATAGAAGAATGTTGATCTGGAGCTAATAAGTTTGTTTAAAATATTGCAGCTCACTACCAAACAATTGATATTTTGGTAATTTTGGAAGGCTGGCCAGTCAAAGCTTCTACAGCATATGGAGAAAATCATTTAAAAGAAAAATTACATATTCATTCTGCAGGTGAGACTTATATTTACTAAATTATTTAAACAGAAATCACACCCTTTTTATGAAGGACTAAACTATGCCATACAACAAAAACATGAGAAGGGTAGATCACAAAAGGCATGAATTTTTGTTTTATAAATCCTATTGAATATATCTGTGTCATCTGGGATTGTGAAATAAGGAAACAGTCCAAATCTTTTACAAAAGATTTAGTACAGGTTTTAACTACAACCTGGTTGGCTATATCACAATAGAAGATACAAATCTGATAAATTCAAGAGCTAAAATAAAATTCTTAAAATCTGCTTATAGTGATTCTATCTAATTTTAGTTTCCATAAATTATTTTTCAATTGTTTAATAAAAACTTAAAATTTTAAACATCTGGATGTCTATTTACTTTTGTCAGGTTTACATTTTTCTATAACATACATTAATTATAAACTAACTGGGTGCATATAATTCCATAAGCATTGATAACTAAGAGATCATCATTACTCTTACATCTATATATTTCTGCAATTACTGACAAATATAAAATTAATAAATAAAATCAGTAAAAATAAATAAGTTAGGAAAGAAAAAAAAAGAGAAAGAAATTGGGAAGATATTAAGATGATGCCTCAATTAAACAATGCTCAAGTCCAGTCCTGTTTGCAAAGTGTATAAGTAAATTCATATAATATATATATATATATATATATATATATATATATATATATAAATAAAAACAGGATTTCATTAGTTTTATTTGATCTTTGTAATGTTCTATCAGTGCTTTTAAATTAGTTCAATTCTTTGTTCTACTGAGAACTACATACAGTTAGCCATGGCTAGGAACAAACCTACTTTATCAAAAGATCCTGTTCATTATACTTAAGAATATCACAGTTTGCTTTTAGTCTATGAAATTAATAACAAATTAATTTATTTGTTGGAAAAAAAAAATAATCAAAGTGGAGATGGATTTTATTTTGTTAGAAAATGACAAAAATTCAATGAGAAAGTAAAATTTAGTTTTTGTTGTTTTAAATTCATTTAATATTCAAATATCAAAAAATATATATACATGACTAATTCAAGTAACTCCAGCATAAAAAAAAACTTATTTCCAAATTAATTCCAAGCTATATTCAAAACATCCGAATGGTAGCTTAATGAATATGTGATTACTTTTATGTCCAAGTCAGACATTAGAATCATAACAGGATTCACTTAATTTTATATAATTGCTTTTTTTGTGACTAACTGAAATCAACAGATTACAGCATGATATGGGGTTTTATTTATATAATAAAAAAAAAATGTAATGGTTATTATAAGTAGAATAATAATACAGATAAGACAGAGGTATACACACATAAGTAGAATTAAGTTTGGTTTGTGCTTTGTCATTTTTTTTAATGCTTCAGCTTTTTGACAAAAAGTATTAATCTATGTAAAAATATAATTATGTAAATCATTTTTAGATAGAAGTTACAAAAATTAAAGGGATCAACATTACAAAGCTTTGTTTATAACTATAGTAGTACATGAGAAAAATCTTTGTATGAACAGATTACAAATAAAAAAGAGAAAGATTAACAAAGAATAGTACAGATAAATCATAAAGACAATACAAAATGTTATTTACCAGTTTGGCTCTTTTTTGTGAGATCTTCATGATATCAACTGGTCCTCGAAAATTGATGCTTTGAAAGGAAACATCAGGTAAGGACAATGCACAAACAATGTGACACCACTGACCATCAGTAGTTGCTTTCAGGGCACCACCACGCAAGAAACACAATGTACATTCCTGTAAGAAAATCCAGAAACAAATCAATGAATAATTTTTAAAATTTATAACAAAATTTCTTTCAAATATATCATGCTATATATAGTTTTTTTTTTTACTTATAAATCACTCAGCAGCTTATTAAACACTTTCACAAAGCTGTACAAATGTACAGCACCTTTACCTGAGAGGTTTATGAGATAAATAACAGGTAAACTGTTATTACTTAATCCATCAAACAGTGAACTACATTTTTCTACTTTTATTAAACAGTGTCAGTGAATTTCTTTGATTAAGCATTTTCTATGACCTTGAAAATACTACTTAATAACTGATGAATTTTAATATAGTGATATTAAAGCATTTGTCATCTAGGAAAATAAAAAGATAAAAACTGGTTTATTGTTCTTATTTACGTACTGCAGAAAATTCCTCTTCTTCACAACGCAAACATTTCCAACTGGATGATTCAACTGATTCATCTACTCCATAACATTCTGGAATAAAATAAAAAGTTTGCATATGAAACAAAAATATCATAATGGAAGCAAAAAAACAAAAAAAAAAAACAAGGGATAATAAAAAGATTTATTATTATTCTTTTAAAAATATACTTTACATAACCTCTACAAAGTTAACATTACCCTAACTTTATTATTATTAAATGAAATACTGTCAGCCATTATTAATTTTTGACTATTATTTCTTGCATCTCCTGTTACTTTACAAAATTAACTAGATTCACTCTATGGTCATTAGAAAACAGCAAAGCTTCAAAATAAATATTTGTTAAATGGCTGTTGAATAACCATGATGGTCTTTATCAATAAAATTTGTCTTATAACTTGTAAACATTCTTTTCTTTAGTGAATATAAAACAAATTCAATATTTATGACTACAACCATCCATTCATTAACAGTGCAATTGGAAGAAGAAATTACAAAATCAAAACTTGACTGTAAAAACTGAGGACAAAATATACAAGTTGACTTGAAATATGTCCTTAACAATAGAAAAAAATATATAACTATAAATAAATGTGATTTTTATTCACACCATCCTCAACTAAGAATGATGTAAATAAAATTTACAATATTAAAGAAAAAGCAGACAATTAAGTTTATTAATCAAATATTGACAATGAACATAATATACAGAATAAAGCATCTACTCACTTGCATGAACACAAACTTTGCACACTTGGCATTGTAAAAGATTGCTTTGTGAATCTTCATCAAAGGGAGATTCGTCTTCATTTGGATTTGGATTTTCTGAGCTTATTGCAAAACAGATCTCAGGTATCACAGGCAGACTTTGTTTTGGCAAGTTTTTGTGGTTCTTTCCATGTGTTTTCTTTGAAAGATCCTTCATCTCAAATTCTTCATCCATCTAAAATTAATGACATATTTACCAAATGTCATTTATTAAAATGATATAAATAATCAAACAAAAGCTAGATTGAAAAGAAATTGGTAACTTGAAACATAGGATATTTATGCACATTTGTAAAGAGAAAAGTAGAAATTATCCTGCAATCTATTATTTGAAGAATATGTTTTGATCTTTAGTTAGATCTACATAGACATCCGAATGTTAGATCCATGCAGACATCGCCATGTTATTTGCAACTATTAGATCCACACAGACATCTCCATGTTATCTTTAACTGAATCAATGAGTAACTGTCATGACTTTAGTTCTACTGATATATCTGATGGAAAAAAGATATACAAGAAATTTATCAACTACTATTTTGATGTCCTCTCCGTTAAGTCTCTTAGCTGAATCCAGATTTTCTAGACACCCTGGCAAGAGAACCCTTTTTGGATACCAGTTAGAATAAACTAAACTTCATTATTTCCTGTTCTAATCCAAAACATTAAACAACAGATTAGCTATAATACATTCACATACATGTGAATTAATAAAATACAGACTGGACTTTTTTTGTTGTATTAGATGAAAAGAACTTTATAAAGTATATAAAAATTGACTTACAGCTATTTCAAAATGTAACAAACTGAATGATTGAAAAATATTAGTTTTGCATCAGTAATCTTAAATACAATATTTACTTACTATATTATCTTTGATTTAAATACATTCATGATTTTCAATTATTTTTTACTGTATACGTGTCATAGGCATGATTTTATCCTTAACCAAATGTTATTAATATGCAAAGCCTACTTTTTAAAGCAGCAAAGGATTGCAATTTTGAAATGGCTTACTTAATGCAAAGGAATTTTTTTATTTTATTATTTTAGTTTAAAAAAAAAATTCTTGTTTTAATTAATATTTTGTTCATCAGCAGATTAATGAAAATTTATTTTTATAAATATATTTTTATATTTTACTCAAATATTTTCACCATGCAATTATACCTGCAGATTTATATTGGTTAACATATGCATCATTTTAATTTCATCATAACTTAAAAACAATTAATGAGCATTACAAACCTGTCATTAATAAATGAGGATAGTAATAACTTAATTTGATAATGTCTAAAAGTAGACAAACATTTCTAGAAAATTTGAGTTTAACCCTTGAAATGTACAACAAAATTTTCTTAGCTGTCACCATTAATAAATATTGGAATGTAAGTCAATCTTTGAAAGAAATTTTAAGTCTCCATTATTACTGACAAGGAAGTAGGACTTTTCCTATAAATGTTCCATTATTTTGGAATTTTTTTTTCTATAAATAAAACTAAAAGCAATTTTTTCTAATAACATAATTGGAAAAAAGTTGCTTTCAGTTTCAGGCTAAAGTAATAAAATTGCATACAATTTTCTAGCAGTTTTGCATTTGTTGATAATTAGAGTGAAAATACAACTAACCTCAAATGGTTTGAAGAGGGAACACACTGAACAGCGAGGTTCCTGCCTGGACATGTACCTGTTATATTTGATTTCTAAATCAAAGTTGAAAGGGCAATCCTGCCACAAACCAATAAGGTGCTTAGCCCAAGGTTCATTAATCTCATGGACTTCATTAATAGAAGTGACTGAAAAAGATACATGAAATAGAATAACAAAGGTTTTTGAATCATTAACACATGACAATAGTTATGATGTAATATAAACATTTTTTTTTATATTTTGTTGCTGTAAATGACACCAATAAATTTCTAAAAAGCATTTTAAAATATGAACATACCATGTGCTTGTATATTATCTTTACTTCTGAGCTTCATGCATAACTTTTTCAATAATTTAACCAAATAAATTGATTTTGTATGTGATTGTTAAAAGATTTTTAGAAAATAATAAATTGGATGTCTTTTTATATTTTTTACTAATTTTTGATAAGATATTCCCAACTACTTGGTAACAGAATTGTAGATAGGTGCTGTTTGCATATTAACTGATTTAAGTAGGTCAAACATTTAAGTGATAATTAAGTGGGGATGGGGAGATAGTTTTCTGTGCTGATGGCAATTAAAGAACTAAAGTATATTTATATACTTTAGTGTGTCAGCTGTTTACTTTGTTACAGATGGGGCTTACTATTCAAAGCTTACCTACATTCAATTTGTTTATTTTTGCATTGTTAAATAGCATAAATTTCTCTTTATTTTTTTAGGAGGTACTCATTACGTTTATTATTTTTAACTATCTATCTAGAACTGTTTAAGTGAACAAAACATTATTGTAGATACAATGATCTTTTAGTTTTCTGTTACCTTTTTTTGAACAAAATGAATATCAAAAATACTATTTGTAGGTAAAGGATTGAGTAGATAAAAGACAAAATATGACAATAATAAAAAGTGACATTATATAAAGTAGATGAATAAAAAAAAATAAACAATTTATGATAAAAATAGAAAAGAAAATGACATAAGTGATATTTTTCAATATGAATGCAAACCTTGTTAATCAAAAAAATAGAAATCCTTTCTTGGGATTCATTCTATAAACTAAGCTGTCAAATTTGAAAATACATTTTTGAGATAATAATATTTCAATATACTGCTCTACAAGTGTAGCAGACATATGTCTAAATTTGTTAATGTCTTTTCTAAACAACATAATACATTAAAAATTCACCAAATAAATGGTTTAAAATGAGTTAGTATTGAGACTATAATTATAAATATGCATACACCTGGGTTCCCCCTCACAGTAATATGATTGGCTGGTGTCAGCCATAAATACAGACTGATGTGGAGGTACAAGGGATGCCTATTGACTACGCCTATTGTCTTCACCTATTGCCTACCACTGCGACCAGTCCATTACGGTTACCTGCTAGATTGTTCTACTCAGTTACAGTAGTCCAAAACCACTTTGCTACTTTGAACAAATATATCCCTTTCTGGGACATATCACTTACAAAGTGATGTTGAAAAGGTTTCAGCTTAAACCTACTTCTCAAAATCTGGACAAATGATAAAATGTAAGTTTTTGTTTTACTTGGAAGGGCTTCTTGGTAAGGCTGAGAACTTTTCAGCACCCCTTCATACATTTAATAAGTGCAAATTGAAATTGTTTTATGGGCATCATTTATTGATGCCCATTCTCTCAGGTCATTGAAGTCACCAAGAAAACAAACCATAAAATTAATCAAAAAATTAACTTTACTGCTGATAACTCATCTATACATATAAAGAAATTAAAAAAAAGCTAAAAAATAAAATTGCTTATAATACTGAAAATTAATTTAAAGAGAAATTTGAAAAATAACAGCAACATTTCTGCAGATGTCTTTGTTCCCTTTGTTATATCTTTAAAACACAAAAGTTCTATTCTTTGCATTAAGGACTGACTAATGTTAAAAATCTTGTCTGTGATTTCTATCACATATTCATAGAAAGGAACACCCAAGAAAAAAGTAAATGCATATATAGCCACAATAAGGGGTTAACTAAAAGAAATGTTAAAAACCTGAATCGGATTGCAAATCTGAGTCTGTAGTGAGCTTTCTTGGCTTGGGAGTGGGAGATCTGCTCTGAGACAAATTGCTGTTTGTGCTGCTACTAGAAGATGGGATTTCTTTATCTCCTTTTGATTTTTCTGATTTTTTCTTTTTTGTATTGCTTTTCTTTTTAGCACCTGTAGCATCATCTTCAGCTTCAGGGGGCGTTTTAACATCAGACTGTTGCTAAAAGAAGAAAATTTAAATAGAAAAAAAAAGGAAAAAACATTTATTTTGGAATTAAATAATATTATAATTAAAAATAAATACCAATTTGAAAAAATAATTTTCTATTAAGAGCCAAAGTTCAATAAACTTAAATTTGGTAGAGTATCAAGCTTCAGATTGCAAGATTTACAGTTCAATTTATGAAGTTATCCTTTGAGTATATGAATAATACAGCAGAAAGATAAGACACTGCTTAAAGAGCTGTTACCAACAATAGAATCTACTGATAAATTATAAGAGAACGTATTTGTAATGGGATTGGCAAATAGGATTTTACCTATTTGCATATGTTGGTTATAGGAGAAATAAAGTAAAGAGTCAGGAGTAAGTTGACTATTGATCATGTGTCATAGAACAACACTATACAATAATATGACATTGCCAATAGGATGTTTGCTTGGGCAAAACAGAAATTTGTAGAGACTTGGATCCAGTGTTTTGAAGTCTGGGCTAGGGCTAAAAAGCTTAAAGACAATAAGGCAAGAGGGGGAGAAAATGAAATAACCAGCCTCTTCCTAGCTTCAGCAGGTTGTGAAGCTATAATTAATGTTATGGCATACCCCAAACAATTGGAGAATTTGACTTTCATCAAAACTTCAGAAATGATAAAAAGAAACTTGTCATAGTGGAAAGAACCAAATTTCTGTCCATTAAACAGGAACAAGATGAATCAATTACACAATATCTTAACTTTGAGAAACTGGAAATTCAAGATTTGACCATAGAGTCAATTCAAGTCTATTCAATTACAGTTGATATATCTAATAAATATTAGAAAAGAACAATTACAGTTGAAATTACAGTTTGTCTATAACTACATGTGTGGAAGTTATACAACAGCTGGAATTGATTAAAAAGTATAATTCTACTGAGGACAATGTTGAAATGTACAGTATAAAAATGAAACACAAAAAATGCAAATACTGTAAAAATAAGCATGAAATTGACAGAAAAAAAATTCTCCTGCTTTTGGAAAAATTTGCTATAACTGCAAAAGAAAAAATAATTTTCAGTTTATATGTAAAGTTAAAAAGAAAATGGACAGTATAGAAAAATTGGAAAAAGAAAAAATTGATGACATCATTTCAATACAAAGACCTAAAGAAAAGAATTCTTTTGAAAAGATTAAATTTAATGGCATGACTTTTCCAATGCAAATGGATACGGGGAGTGAAGTTACTCTAAATCGAAATTGAGACAATCTGATGGATCTTTTTGTAAAATCTTTGGGTTACTTCAATGGAAGTGACCGATTTGAAATTATTCCCATTACTGTAAAATCAGAAAAAGTAAAAATGAGAGTGTTAAAGGTGTATAAAGCAAGGATACAATTAAATGAATATAATACCCCCACTTCTATTTTGAATCCTGTAAATTACCTATTCACCTTCTACCTTTAGTGGTTGCCAAGTTAAAGGAAATGGTAGGGGAGGGAATTTTGAAGTATATTGATATTGCATCTTAAAGTGAATTAAGAAAATTTCAGGGGTATCTATTGCTACTAATAAGAAAGAATTAGAATCTTTTTTAGGATTGGTTAATTTTTATAATACACACACCAAAATACAGTGACTTAACAGAACCATTTGCTGAGCTAAATAAAAATAATAGTGAGTTCAAATGGACTCAAAGGCAAAACTTAGTATTTGAGATTTAAAAAAATATACTTGCAGAAAAACTCATTGTAAAAATCTTTGATCCCTAAAAGGCAGTTACATTAACTATGGATGTGAGTGAGAGTTGTGTCAGCAATTTTATCACAAAAAGGCCATCCAGTAATGTACCTTTCAAGAAGATTGACAGCAGTAGAAATAAATTATTCAAATATTGAAAAAGAGGCACTGGCCATTGTCTGGAGCATAGACAGATCTCAACAATTTTTATTAGGTAAGAACTTCCTATTAAAGTCAGACCATAGAGTTTATTTTTAACCCTAGAAAAGAGCTACTAAAAGTTACTTCTAGAATTTTAAGGTGGTCAATAAAATTAATGGCATATGATTTTGACATTGAGTATGTAAAAGGAAGTACAATACCATGTGTTGATGCACAGTCAAGGTTACAATTTAATAAGGATCAAAAAGAAAAAAATGGAAATCCCGAATGAAGAAATATTACATTCGGTTGAAACTGACATTATCTCTACAAAGATTGACATTGGAAACTCGACATGAACCAATATTAAACAAGATTGCTGAGAGAATAAGAAGAAACAGGTGGAGTAATTGTTCCAAAGCTGAAAGACCTTATAAAGAAATAAGGCATAAATTAATGATGGAAAATGGCATTATATGCAATGGAGATGTGATAAGGAAAAACCTTTCCATCCAATCAATTATCAAACTTATGTTGAGAAACTTTTGCAACTAATGCCAAAAATTTGTGCTACAGTAATCAAGGCTAAAGGAGGATATTTTGATGAGCACAAAATTTAATCATAAAATGCTTTTTATCTTTTAGTCATAATAAAATTCCTAATAAAAATTCATGTCTCACTTTTTTTTTTTTTAATCATGTATAATAATCTTCTCTTATTTAAAGTATAAAACAATTACTTTTGGGACCAATTTAAAAAATTACCAGGGGTTTCCTCAAATTTTTGAACTGTAATGTATATCAAAGAAAAGAAAATGCCTAATGGCTCATTCTGACCAATTAAGATCCAGAATTGAAGAGGAAGATGTGATGGAAGAATATCTTGATGAAGAAGAAAGTATGAAAATGAGCCTATGTATGATAGGCAATAGTGACTCAGAAGATGAGACCAAGATCTCCATTAAAAAATAACAGAACATCAAGGGGAAGGGAGAGGAAAGAGGTTATAGAAGTTCAAGAACAACAAAAGGTTCAGAGAGGTGTAATGGGATTGGAAAAAAGAATTTTACCTATTTCTATATGTTGGTTATAGGAGAAATAAGGTATAGATTAGAGTCAGATAGGAGTTAGTTGACTACTGATCATGTGTCGTAGAACAACACTATACAACAGTATCTAATGAAACATGACTAATCAGTCTTGATAATGTGCTATTAAGTATAGGTAGATGTTATCTTTAGGTTAGTAAAATATATAATCTGATTTACCAGCAATTTAAGAGAGTTGAAAAGGCAACAGAATTTACATATATTTTAAAGGAGCATCAAAACACTCAACTAGAATGTGTATTCTGTGCAAGTTATGAAATATCCATGACAAAATTTGAGGATGAAAACTATATCTATTGAGTCTTTAATTCAAATTTCATGTCTGTATCAAAATATTCAGTATGAGGGGATGCAGAAAAGTTCTCAGGCCATCCCAGCTCCTTCCCAAACATAACTAAATACCTAAAATCAGAATGTTTTTAAAAAGGCTTTTTGGTCAAGTTAAAGATTTTGCAATATCCTCTTATATATTGGATACAATCACTCCCAAACTCCCCAAAAATAAATATCTAGTTAGAAATTGTTGTTGCACTCCTACATAAAGGAACTGTTTCAAATGAGGCATTTATTTTATAACAAACATCAAAATACTGATTTTTGAAAATCGTGTTGGCCTGAAAACTTTTCAGCACCCGTGTATGTGTGACGTGGGGTGTTGTAGACAGGGTTTGCTCAATTAAATTCAATTTACATAACTTAAAGTAATATCTTTTTTTCCATTTTGTTTTTTTTCCATTACGTCTTTTTTATTCAAATGATAGACCTTTACTTTCTTTATGAAGAAAAATTTTTTTTTTATATATAGTTTCTTTATAATAATTTATAGTTTCCTTCCCTTGGGTCTCCAATAAGCATGTATACCAAACTTGAGGACTGTACATGAAATGGTTTTGCCATATATAACAAATAGAAAAACAAACTTTTTTTTCTCTCTCTCTCATATATCTCAAACAAAATGAAATGTTCAAACTTATCTTCCAACTCAGGGTTTTACAGAAATGGTAATTGCTCATTAGAGGACTAAGATAATAAAATTTACACTATTTCTTAATATCAAGCATTTTAATTCTATAGACTGTTTGCCTTAAAAAAAGTGTTCTCCTCCAGAAATACACTGGTTGACCACTTTTTTTTTTTGTAAAACAGACATATATGATCCAGCAGTTTCACCACTTGGCTACAGAGAGCATTATGGTTCAGCAAGATATATATATATATATATATATATATATATATATATATATATGGACACACATACAAAATAGAACGAATGGTGGGCACCATAAAAATTTGAATTGGAAGGTTTATAATACATTTTATCCAGTATAAAATTTGTTCTACATTATGGTATTTACCTTTTGTAATAAAACCCTACACAATTAAAGGCAATACAGTACTAAGTGGAAGTAGAGTTAACATTATTTTTCTTTTTAATCTTATATCAGTTCCTAGCTTCAGAGTTTTATGAAATAAGAGAGAAAGTTTATTTCCTAAATTTATGCTGCATTTATTCCTAATTTGAAAATATTTAGTATATCAACAAAATGTATTTTGCCATTACTATACAAAACATCAAAATATTTTTTCTGAATAGAAATTTCCTTTTATATTCAGTTCTCTATACAGAATCTACAAGCTCACAGCTACTCCAGAGTTTAAAAATGTCTGGTGCCTAACCAGAGAGTTATAGAAATAAAATATGAAAGCAGCTACATAGTTTATCTAAAATTTAGAATGAAACAAAGAAATAGCATTAAAAAAATGCAAATATTCAATTAAACTTTAAAAATATTCAGTCTTGCTTTAATTTATTTAGTTGCCACTTAGATTAATAGCTAATTATATATTTTTGTCTGTTTAAATTTATTAGTGATATTTTCAGACACTTTATTTAGCGTTTGTACAAAATTTATATATATATATATATATATAAATAAATAAATAAATAAAGATAATGCATATTGAGTGCTGGTGTTAATAAAATAGTGCTTGAAGTAATATAACAGACAATCAAGTATATATTAATAAATGTACG